GCCATAAGAAAAGATGAAATACTGCCATTTGCGACAACATGGATGGATCTTGGGATTATCATGCTAAGCAAAATAAGTCAGACAGAAAAAGTCAAGAACCATATGACTTCACTCATATATGGGATACAAAACTGAAAGCAACAGATGAACAAAACAAACAAGAAACAAAAATCATAGACACAGACAACAGTGTAGTGGTTACCAGAGAGGGTAAGGAGGGAGGGAGGGATAGAAGAGGATAAAGGGGGTCAAATATATGATGATGGAAGGTGAACTGACTCTGGGTGGTGAACTCACAATGCAATACATAGATGATGTATTATAGAAATGTACACTTAAAACCTATATAATTTTACTACTCAATGTCAACCCAATACATTTAATAAGTAAAAAAAAAATTCCTTTAATCTGTACCTCCTCAATGTTATTTTTTCAAAACATATCCCCAATAAGGAAATTTGTGATATTGGGGATTTTAAATGAGGACAACAAATACACCAGGGATATTAGGGGTTAGGAGTAAAGGCTTCCTTTCAAATTTTGGGGTAACTGGAACCTTTTGACACTATTTAGATAAACTTAGAAGGCTATTTGTATAGCTAAGTATGTACTAGGGCATGAAACGCAATTTGGGATTTTTCAAACACAAGTTCTTTATCACTTCTTGTTTAGTCTTCTCCTCAGAAGCTACTCATATATTTGATATAAACCCCTTGAGGTTCTGTAAAATTGTATTACTGACTCAGAATTACCTTTCACATACTGAGGTATCAAAATTGCAAAATATTTCAGAATGTATTACATTCATATTTGGGATGCCAATATAATCAGAATAAGCCAAATTCATTTTTTAAATTAAATGTTCATATTCTTTTTACCCACAAGTCTTTGTTCAGCATTTTTTATCATTTATTCCTCATTAAATACATTTAATTCAATATGTAGAGCTACTTTTCTAAAATCATAGATATCAAAGATTGCTTTATTATAGGTAAAATCTATTTGAATTTTCCTCTTCTTTTGTATTGTTCTGTTTTTCAGTACCTCCTGTTTAATATTATCTGTGAATTTAATTAACAGGCTGTTTACTTCCCTTTGCTAGGTAGTGTTACATAATACCACAGCTAACAACAATTCCTGCAGAATCTCTGTAATGCCTTTCTCCACATAGATATTTCAGTGTTTTTTAAAAAATTGTTCTTCAGTTTTTGACTCATGAAACTTCAAGGAGTGCATCTATGTCAGGAAATTCAGGGGCTTAGAAGAAATGGAAAACACGGAAGTAGAAATCGAGGTAGAAATTAGCAGGAAAAAAAGAGAACATGGATGAGAAAAGGGCAAAAGGTCAAGGTAAGAAAAAAAGAAAAAAGGCAATAGTCAAAAATAAAGAGGATAGAAACATTTCACCCTTCTGGAAAAAATAAAATGTCACTGATGATAGATGACTGATTTGAGATTAAGGAAGTACAAAGGAAGAGTGAGGATCAAAGCCTAGATCTAACAAAAAAAATATATAACATATTTGAAAATACCTCATCAAAAATATGTGGTAATCTTTTTGGATGAAAAGGACAGAAAAACTGTAAGATTGAATATAAGATAAGATGTTGGTATTAGTTTGATTTACAAATAGACATAGCCTTTCCTACTAGTTGAGCAATTGCTGTCCAAAGATGTGAGCTGATCTAATCCAGTATTTGTTAACGGGATGGAGATCTGTTCAAAATAGTTGGCAAGGATGCCTAGCACTGGGCCAGACAGTAGGATAGACCACAGGTTATATTGGCAGTATAGTTTTGTAGATACACACACCTAAAAGTAATTTAAAAAAAACAGTATAACTCAGTTTCTAATTGGTGTTGGACTTCATTATACATTGGCCTTTAATTGCTAAAGAATTTTCAAAAAGGGGAAGGAGTTAATTCCGCAAATTATGGCAGTGAGCCTGACCTGGAATCTCAGGCAATATACAGATAGTGTGTGAGCACTTATGGAAGGGAGACCAGTGATAACCAAGAGCTGGTGATACACGGCAGTCCGGCCTCCTACATTCAAAGGCTGATGGTGGTAATTGGGATGGATGTGTTACAGGATTGGGATGCTAACACACCAATTTCCAAACACAGGCCACACGTAAATTTGTTGGCAGTGGGTGGAATAGGTAATTTGATGGTCTCTGAAGATCTAAGTTTAAAAAAATAAAAAATTTCTTCAGGTAGGCCACTATAAGAAGTAGGACTTCATTATTCTCTTAAGTATTATGGAATTATTTCATTATGCACTTTCTCACTTCCTAATCTCCTTTCTAGAATAGCACAGAGTTTAGCAACCCAGTACCTACATGTTACCCACCTACCTAATGGATGATACTGAGTTGGCTTTCTCACCCATTCTTCTTTTTTTCAGAACCATTTTAAGGTATTGTACACCTCCTTCCTGATTAGCATACTATATTACAGTGGTTCTGAAATGTGTTAACTTGGAGGCTCATTAAAACATAAGATTGCTGCAGTTTCTAATTCAGAGTGTCTGAAATGGGGCCCATGAATTTGCATTTCTAACAAGGTCCTAGGATAATGGTGGTCTGAGACCACTCTTGTGACTACTCCACCTTCACTCTCCCAAGTGATACACTGTGAAGAGGTAAGCACAATGGAGTCCTCAGGATTACTGTTTAATCAAGTTTGTCACTGATTTGCAAATAGGCTTATGCAGACTTCTAAAGTAAAGGGAATTGTCTTTCATGCACATTTACACTTCTTTGAACAGTTTTTCCCTTTTTTCCCTGGGCCTCTATTACAGCCCTTTCCCATCCCCAATGTGCTCCTATGTTGGTTTGATCATCTTTAGAGAAAATATTGATCTCAAAGATCAATATTTAATGGCATTTAATGCGGGATTCCTCCTGGGAGAAATTTAAAAGATAAGAATGATATATGAATCCAAAAGGGCAAATTACCTATACTGTAATTTCAAACAAAGGGAATGATTCCTCCACCTATATGAATGCATATCAGTGTGTTTATATCTATTTATATCTATTCATATATATGTGTGTGTGTGTGTGTATATATATATAAATATATACACACACATATATATAGCGCCAAAAAATGTATACATATTTTAAGAAAGGAAAACTATTGAAATTGTAATACTCAATGTATACCGATAACAAAAGATGAATACAAATCATGTTTGACTTCTACAATTACAAGAGGTGCTTAAAGTGGTTACCATCAGCATCCAGACACTTCTGATTATGGTGAACTACTGCTTGAGCAACATTGACCAATGTCCACTTGTATACATTTTTTTGGTGATATATATATTATAAAAGACAAAAACAAAACCCACCTCCTCTTTGGCTATATTAAGGGCGAGATTTTAGTTTATTGATAATTTTTGAATGGGCACTTTGGGACCTTCTTGACATTTGCCTTGTTGAAAGTCCTCTGTGTGTCACATGTGAATTATGGAGCATGCCATGCTGTCTTTTTCACATGAAAGAGGACAAAAGTATATTGATTGGTTTGGTATGAAGCACCCCTCCTCTCCACACCTCATTAGTACCCAACAGACTTGGCAATGGAACAGGTAAGGGTGTGTGTGTGTGTGTGTGTGTGTGTGTGTG